GAGACGGAGTCTTGCTCTGTCACCCAGGCTGGAGTGCAGTGGCGTGATCTCCGCTCACTGCAAGCTCCGCCTCCCGGGTTCATGCCATTCTCCCACCTCAGCCTCCCAAGTAGCTGGGACTACAGGAACCTGCCACCACGCCTGCTTCATTTTTTTGTATTTTTAGTAGAGATGGGGTTTCACCATGTTAGCCAGGATGGTCTCGATCTCCTGACCTCGTGATCTGCCCACCTCGGCCTCTCAAAGTGCTGGGATTATAGGCGTGAGTCACTGCGCCCGGCAATCCCAGCACTTTAAGAGGCCGAGGCAGGAGGATCACTCAAGCCCAGGAGTTCAAGACCAGCCTGGGCAACAAAGCAAGTCCCTGTCTCTACAAAAGTAAAAAAATTAGCCAGGTTGGCAGCACACACCTGTTGTCCCAGCTACTCAGGAGGCTGAGGTGGGAGGATCACTTGAGCCCAGGAGATGGAGGCAGAAGTGAACCAGGATCACACCACTGCACTCCAGCCTGGGTGACAGAGCAAGACCCTGTCTCGAAAGGAAAAAAAAAGTTAGGCTTCCAAAGTTTATCTAAACATCTTCTTTTAAGAAACTCAAGTTGCTTCCTCATTTTCAATGTTAAGGTCAGTGTAAAAGGGGATGGTGGAGACTGTGGAATTTACTATCAGTTCTGACTTTAGGGGTTTAACATCTGGCAAACTAGGCCTCATGTCTTCATTCATCATCAGATTTAGCTAATCTGAATCCTTTTAATTGGAAACATCTATTAATCTAAATTGCCCTCCTGCTTCTCTGACAAAGCAGAAAATGACTTCAGAATATGAACCTTACAGAAACTGAATCATACTTCAGCCAAAATGAATTATACATTAAAGAATTTATAATTATATTACAGGTGGAGTCTGATGAGTCTGATTTTGTTGGCCAATTAAGAAAGGAAGGGCTGGCCGGGCGCAGTGGCTCATGCCTGTAATCCCAGCACCTTGGGAGGCTGAGGCAGGCGGATCACCTGAGGTCAGGCATTCAAGACCAGCCTGGCAAACATGGCGAAACCTCATCTCTACTAAAACTACAAAAATTAGCCGGGCGTGGTGGCAGGCACCTATAATCCCAGCTACTCAGGAGGCTGAGGCAGAAGAATTGCTTGAATCCGGGTGGTGGAGGTTGCAGTGAGCTGAGATCTCGACATTGCACCCCACCCTGGGCAACATAGCAAGGTTCCATCTCAAAAAAACAAAAAAGAAAAGAAACAAGGAAGGAAGGAAGGAAGGAAGGAAGGACGGACGGAAGGAAGGAAGGGCCTCCACCTACATCGTTCAAATGTAATTACCCCATGTTATACCTGTGGATATTTCGGTACAAAAACAGAAGTGGGAAAAGCATCTGCCTGAGTGTTTCAGAAAGCCTGAAAAGGGAATTAACTAGGATAAAGAGATTTTGTAGGTAGTAGAGAAGCTTCTAGAACTGGTTCTTTTCTTGATTATCACCTGTAATTTTCTGTGTATTCCATGCAGTCCCAACATTGCTCCTAGAATCCAAACTCATATCAAAAAACAAGGTCATTAGGAGATAGAGTAGAGGGATCCACGCCTCCCAGGTGAATTACTGTAGCTCAACTGCCCAGAAGGTGGGACGATATCCACCTTTTCTGGAAAGACCTATTAACCAGTCCCATTCATTTGCCTTTCGCCTTCTCCACAAAGCTATGTCCTGCTTCTCCACTTACAAGGTCATATGCAACTCGAATCTCTGTCTACCCATCTGGCATCCACCCTTCCAGACCCTACTTAAATGCTACCTCCTCAAATGCCAAAGAACTCCAAAACTCGGTTGATCATTCTGGTGGAAGCTGATCTCTCCCTCCTTGGCAGCCTGTGTACCCCTGATGCGTTTTGTAAACTTGCAGCTACTTTGATTTTGTCTTGGATTGTACTTGGGTCTTGCCTTAACCCTTGGTCCAGATGGCAAATACGGACAGCCTCTGTGAGCACAGCCACGTTCTCAGTTAAGGATCTTTTTCTCTCCCAAAGCGCATCGCCCCTCTCACCAAGCGGTGGCTCAATAACATATCTGATAGTTTCAAGGCACCAGATTTAAATATAAAGACGGTGTGGGTGGCTGATTTCATGTGTGTTGCCACACCAAACCATACTAGTGAGTTTCACGTTGCCGTGCTTGGCTTTGGGCTCCCTTGCTGTCCCTGGACAGAGACGCTCAGCAGTCGTGAAATCACCACAAAGGTGGGCAGGAAGAAGGGGAAGAAAGGGAAGCCGGGGCTGGAATAATCCAGTCTGAGTCACCACTTCCTGAATGCTGGGGCTCGTGGCTTCGCAGGTTCGGGAAAAGGGCAGCAAAGCCGCGCTTGGAGGACGAGCCCCCG